ACAGTTAATTAATTAATTAAATTTGTATGCAATTTATATTCAAGCAGAACTGTAATATATTGATTTCTACAAAATGTATACCCCTACCAAATAATATTACATTTTTCTTAAGACTCTATAATATCAAACTATTATTTCAATAACATTCAGGTTAGCATAATCAGATAAAACTTTTGGATAAATTAACAATACCCTCCCTGGGGAGAAAAAAAAGAATAATTAACAATTTACACTTCCAAAAAAAAAAATCACACACCATAATCAAGCTATTAATGAACTGTGTACAGAATCCAAAATGGAATTAAGAAGGTTATTGCACATTGTTAATCTACTGTTTTTCTTTTTAAAAAAATAATTTAACCAGGGTAAAATATTAAGGAATGAAAATCAGGCTTTTACATCTTACAAACAATTTAGTCCCTAAGCAAAGCAAAGAAGCTCAATTAATGGCACCTTACATAACAATCTTAACTATGAAAAAAATTCACTGGTTCAATTAAATAATTTAATGAAGAATATATTTCCTTAACCAATCTAAGTTACACTCACTGTTTCAATTAAATAATTTAATTAAGAATATATTTACTTAGCCAATCTAATAAATTACTTTATCGACAAGCAAAAATTATTTCATTAGAATTAAGTTAATTTACTCAACTACAAAATTTTAATTCAAACTAATTAAGTTAATTTTATCACCTATTAACTGCAGTAATTCTTTAACAACAGACTATCGACGGAAGAAAAACAAAAAAATAACTTATCTGGAACAGAAGGATGTCTGGTCGGCGAGATGGAAGAAGTGAAAACATTCATATGGAGAAGTATTATTATTTGAACTATTGTCTTTAGTTGAACTCGAAAATTTTCCACACTATTGCATGGGAAGTTACAAGTCCTTATGTCCCAACATAGAGAAGAATTATTAAATGAACTATTGTCTTTAGTTAAACTCGAATCCACACTTTAGAAGTGACAAGTCCTTACGTTCCAACATAGAGAAGAATTATTAGATGACTGAGGGAAGACGGCTTAGCGGAATCGATGAGAATCAACCTCACGGAAAGTAGAAACTCAGAGAGAAGACAAAAACCTCTTTTACTGAATTTAGTTAGCATCTGCTTTGCAGGGGCGACCCCGGAGAGGACAGCGAAATTTTCTTGCATTGTGAACATTAATTACATAGTGGCGTAGTAGCATACCATTGTAACAGATGACGTCCCAACATTGAACTGATATAAACTATATATATATATAACATATTTTATGGCACAAATTTTAAGAGGCCCTTTTTCTCTCTATTTATATATATGGTTTTTTTTTTTTTTTTTGTTAGTATAAATTAAACGTTAAAGATTCAAAAAACACCGAAGAGAAAATAAATCCGTCGAAGACATGTTGCCGAAGCTATGGCCATCGTTCAAAGCTCAGGGGCAAGAAGCCCGTAGATCCAACTGTTGGAAAATTCATCCTTCCGAAAAAATCGGCTTACTCCGCGGCCTGCGAGTAGCAGCCTCCGATGTCAAGTCAAAAGTCCAAAAAAGGTGACCTTGTCCCTCAAAACCGCCCGTTAAAAAGGAACGCGAGGGAATACCAACTTGGCAACGCTCACGCCCCGCCAAAAATGAAACCAGTTGCAACCTCAGCATTCCTTCATGCTAACAATCTCGCCAAAACAACCACTTTGAAACCCCAACGGATTTTCCAAGTCGCCAACCAGCCACGCCTAGCAAAGGGGAGAAACGTGGAATTTCAATAACCCTGTAAGCAGTCCCAAAGAAAGTGCACTGAAAACTCGAAAAAATGACCATTCTACCGGAAAGAGGGAGATTTCTTCCCCCAGAATAGAAATCACAATGACAACGGTAAAAACCTATTAATTAAAAGCTCATAACTAAAATGCAATTGAAGTTAGGAAAACAAAAGTTATATCAAATTAAAGAGCTAATTTTTCTGCAACTATTGATATTAAATACTAAGAGTTTAACTTAATTTTATCATGAAAAATTTAGTTTATTACATGAAAATTCACCTATATCCATTGTCTGAGTGTACAAGTTTGAAGACGCTGTTCGCATAAAACCAAATAACCCAAATAGATTGCAATAGAATTAATAAGCCAAATAAATGAATATATCCAAACTTGTTGTGTAGCTAAAATTTTGAATATTTACAAATTAAAATTTTGATTTCTGTGATTTATTTAATTTTATTAAATTTGCTACACAACATGTGCAAGGTTGTACGACCGTCGCATGCTTACGAGTTCGATACTAAAGGTCACCGGCAGAAAAAAGAAATGTCAACAGATGCCAATGCTGAGAAGACTAATATAGCAATCTTGTAAAAGGAAGTGCCAAGGGCAAAAATTGTATGAAAATAATTTAACACAAATCTGATGCAATAACACAGAATTATTTGCAAATGGAAAGAACTAAGTGATAGAATAAAATGGCACTTTTAAGAAATGAAACTGAGAGCAAGATTACTTTAGAGTAAAAGGAGAAATAAATGTGAAAAATATATAAATGATATTTAATGAACAATTGAAACATAAGTACTGAGAAAAACTTAATAAACTATTTCAAGAAATAAATTAAGAAATTAATGAAACATAATGAATACATAAATAATGAAAAATATGGCTGAGCATTCAATGCGTCTCATCTCGCCGTAATGCAAAGCTAGGGGTGCCTCGCAGCACCCCTCGCCTTACTTCACAGCACACTTTGGGAACCCCTGCATTAAGCATATGCTAAAGTGAGATGCTTTTCTCAAAATTTAATTATTTCTCCCTTTGCACAAAGAAATTTGAAAATATTTTTTTAAAAATTGCTGGTGATTCAGAGATCATTCCAGATACCGGACATCCAGATTCTGGATTTTGTACTGTATTATACAAGTGAGGTATGAGGAAATTAGGTCAATCTTGTACAGCAAAAGAAGTATGCTTTCAGGAGCATTCTTTAGTTTGGTTACATACCTTTGATTTTTATACTAAATTAATGTTTAAATTTATACTCACTGCAATTACATTTGAATATACTACAGACTATTTAAATACATTTTATCAAATCATCAAACAGCAAATAACCCCACTGAGTACGAACTATTTCCATCACATCTTGTTGCAGACCTACTTCAGTACCATTTTGAACTCTGAACCAAGTCCCTCATATATATATATAAGGTGTGTTTTCATTTCTAGGAAGCTGGACTATTCTTAAATTTTCTTCAGTTACTAGCCCTTGCATTTGTAAGGCCATTACGAATTGTTAAATACTGAATAAGTTTTAAGTTATACATGTTTCAAGTATTTAACCACTTCTATCTTGATGTCAAAGGCAAATCCCACATTCAGGTAGTAGTTTCTAGAGGGGATGCTATGAATAAATGCAATCCAGAAGCTATCACTTATACTCTTATTTCTTATACTGGTATTATCATCCTCATTCTGATATTGGTGTTCCATTTACATTAACATTCTTAAAAGTTCCATATGGTAAAACGTTTTTAACATTTCAAATAATGCCTTGATATATAGCTATAAAAATTGTGTAGTACAAGGAACACCAAAATCGCAGTTTGATTGTAAACAGATACTTTTCTATAAGCGTGTGAAATGCAATTACTTGGAACTATTAAAACTTTCCCACTTTTGCTCCAGTATGTCTTATGTTTTCTCATGCAGTACTCTAAAATTTTGTTTACATAAAAATTTTTAACTACACAAATAATGAACAAGTAAAATTTTCACATTTCACTCAGCATTAATGTTTAGATATTTCTCCAGTTATTGATCAAATATTTCCTTTGCCTTTCAAATTTCTAAAAGAACTCTTGATAATTTTCTACTCTTCTTCCACTGCTAAAACATTTTCCATTAAAAATGTGCAGCTTTTTTCAAAGGCAGAGACAGTAAAATAAACCCAATTCACCATATACGAAAATACTGCTTTTACTACATCATTCTAATTTTTACTCCAGAACATTTTGCTCCTAATCTGATACAATTTCTTTATAAAATAAAGAACTTTTGATTACATATCAAAGCAAATGTTATGACCTTCTCAATAACTGTCCTTACTCACTGCTTTGATAATTATTATAAAGAAATCAAATTTGCAAAATAAATTTCAAATAAAGAAAATTGATTCTTCTACTGCAATAAATTAATTCGACAAATTTCTTCTGATTACAGGTTGATTACATTTATTTAAAAATCTAAACATTACAGATTATATATGGTACAATATTAAGATCTGTACATTAGTTATGATTGATTCTCTTTTGATGTTAATTATCTGTTACATATTCTTTGAATATGTTTAATTAGTTTTCTAATTCCAAATGTTTAAAAGTTTAAGGCTTTTGTGATGTGCACTTCAATGAAAATTTACTACCTCAATTTTCTATTTTATGCACTTTTATCGTAATTTGATTCATTTTATATTCCTATTTTTCAAATGTCTTGTAGCTGCCTTAACTACTTACATTAGTTGTTCTGGAAATTCTGCACAGATATAAAAGCTCTTGAGCAGGGTAAGAGATCGCAACTTGTCTTGTAATTTCATAATATTAGCATTTTCTTCATTCACCTTTCCAAAATTTATTTTATTCTTCTCTTTTAATTTATCACATTTCAAAATTTCCTTACATTTTTATCTCATTGCTTCTGTTTTAGTTTTGATTTGTATTTTAACATTTCATATTTACTTCAATATGTCCTATTACATATTGCTACGCTTGACTTGTGCTGCCTAGTCACCGCCGACCATCGACTATTTATTCAATTATTTTTAATAAAAAAAACTTGCTACTATTCTATTATTGTACTAGAAATACATATACAGATATACAGGAAATTCCAAATGATGCTTAAAATTATGTTAATATTTCTAGATTGTGCAGACTATATTTTCACAAAAATTACATAATGTGAGGCAAATCATAGCTACAAAAGTAATTTTACAAGATATGCAAAAAATATTCTTGCTTACCAAATGCTGTTTAAAATAAAAAATAACTGGATGAAAATGCAACCAAATGGAAGTATGCCACCCATAATGATACCCGGAATAGGTTGGGTGTAGATAGATTGCTCAGGTATCTGCCTAGGGATCTGGTTTGTACGAACAGGATGCTCTATAGTCTGAAAAGAAAACACATGCACAAAAAGGTACAAACTCCATATACAGCAAAAATATGTACCCAAATATTAAACGCTAGAAGTACTAACTCTGTAAGTTTGACTTTTCAAATTATTACCATTATTTGGAATTTATATGACTTAATGACATGGAATAACTAATATTTTTGCAGTTGACTTTCTAAAAGTTTCGTTATTAAGCATCTGCTTAATATGTACTTAAATATACTAAGATGCATAAGAAAATGCTTTAATAATGACATAAATCAGTTTTAGATAATAACATTTATTCATATCAATCTTCTTATTCATTTATACAAGCATTTGTTATTATGTCTAAAATTTTTTTTTAGGTCCAAAGAGGC